CCGTGGTCGAACCAAAACCCCCTGGTGGTCGAACACAGACGCCCAGGGACTTGTCTCAGCAATCATTCCACGTCGTCGTGAGTGCATAAACCTCCCGAACAGCCCTTACTTATACCACCCCCCTGCCCCCGCAATATCGAGCGTCAAATGGACCAAGGACAGTCCCTGAGAGCACCGTGGTATCGGTCATCCCAAAAAGGTGACTGCGCATACATGTCCTCAGCAGCCGCACCGGCGGCTTCCCTCTCTCGAAACTCCGGCATCTGCGCCACAAAGGCGGCGTCGACGTTCGCAGGCGGTCGGTTGAAGTACCGAAGGGCGCCACCGAGCAGAGCCAAACCGCCAGCCGCACTAGCCACGGCTGTAGCAATGTTTGCACCGTTGCCCGCCGCCGGCCGTTGTGGTATCCGCAGCAGGCGTGGTAGTAACGATCATCGGCTTGGTCGTAGTAGTATCGTCTTGCTGGTAGTAGTCGTCGCCTAGGTTGTAGTAGTAGTCGCCTTGGTCGTAGGAGTAGTAGTCTTAGTCGTAGTAGAGTCGCCTTGGCTGTAGTAGTAGTCGCCTTAGTCGTAGTAGTAGTCGCCTTGGTCGTAGGAGTAGTCGCCCCGGTCGTAGCAGTATGGTCGGGGAGTGCTGGGATGGGGGTATCTCGTACATAGCTGCAATGCCTCCAGTCACTCGTGTGGAGGTCACTGCGCACGCACAGCGCGGCTTAGGTGTCGGGGCTGTCGGTGTCCGCGGTGGTCAGCAAGCAAGGCAATCAACTAGTAAGCCTGAAGTCTCACCGCCCGATTCGAGTACATGCATCTTGCTCCTCTAGAGCGCAACGCTGGAATTAAGTTATTTTTCTCATGCCGTTGCTAGTCGTTGACTTTGCTGGCAATGTGCCGCTACAGCGTTCTTCGTTTGGGTGGTTAGGAGCAGGCCATATTGCCCATGCAGGACGGAATTGGTTCGGGTGTTGGTTAAGGGCTGGTGCGGCATAGTCGTACAGCTGTTAACCATCCCACTTTTTGCTTCGCTATCGCAACACCGCACTAAGCGCCATTCTCCCGTTCGCTTGGGCACGAAATGGGCAGGCGATATGACCGAGTTCGGGCCCGCCGGCTCGATTAGCCCCTCGTCCACGAGTGTCCGGATTATCGGACATCCGATGGCCTCCTGACGGCTGTTCCAAAGGCGGACCTTCATCCACCAGAGGGTGTGCCGCCAAGGTCAGCAACGAGCGTCTGCAACGGAGGAAACATCACACGCCGGCCCAACAGCGTGCTGTTCGGGTAGAGGGTCTTCGCCACTTCAGACGTCGTCGTAACATGAACTGACTGGGAACGGGGATCTGATGCGCGTCACCAGCGTCTCGTCACGGATGTGGTCATACACTTCGTTTAACGACGCCGTCGACGTCCACCCAGTCTCGAAGTCCTCCTTGGTCCGGCACGCGAACGCGGGGAACTTGCACTCCCGTCACTCCTTGCGCTCCTTGAAGGCCTCGATGCGGGGTACATAACGGAACCTAGCCCGCGGTCCGGTAGCTGTCGCCACTGATTTGCCTGATTGGTGGAGTCCGACAAGCCGGTGCCGGCCACTGGAGTTCGATGACCCCGAGCCTATGCTGTACGCCATTGTAGTTTGTCCAAGTACCAGTAGTACTCGGCCTTTTTCCCCTCACGCCCGTACCGTACGAGCCGTTCAACTCACTCGCGCCGCACGATAGGGAGGCGTGACCAGGACGGCCCACCGCTGTAATACGGACCAACCACTGCCAGCTTCCCCAACGTCTGTTTGTACACTTCCGAAGACATGGTATATTCGCTCCGAAGACATGGTATATTCGCGGTTCTTCCACTCATCTAGTACGGCGTGTGACTTTGTGCCAGGACGCAGCCGAGATCGCGTCCCAGTTGGCTGCTGGAGTTTAGTACGGTCTTTACTGCACTCGCGGTTTCCCCGGATGTTCGAATTAATTTCAGATCTTCAACTCGAGTAACGTTAGGGGGGGGAAAGTGCAAATCGCGCGGCGACCCCGATACAGACACCTACCTTTCACCGGCGGGTGTTCTTTGAACACTTGGTCGATCCCATGCAGACAACGCGTCGAGAACTAAATAGCGCAGGCCAGAGTTGTGGTCATACTATTAGTGCGTCGGCTTCAGCTCCTTATCGGACAGATCCACGAGCTCCTCAATGGAAAACCCGAATACCAGGTCGGGGCCTTCCTCAAGATATTGCAAACCTACTTGAATAGTGACCGTGTGTGACGCTTCCCAATCGACCCAACAACCCGCACCACATTCTTGCCGTCTGAGCTGTTTACGGACATAACGATCTCAAAAGAAATTTTCATACACACCCTGATCACAGCTCATTCCCACGACTTACACCCACAAATGCAAAGACAACTGCCGGACAGCACAGCCAGTAACAGTGATGCCGAACCCAGGGACAAGGGCAACAGCGATGCCCCGGCAACAGCGATGCCCCGGCAACAGCGATGCCCCGGCAACCCACCATGGACAACTCACCGACTGTGACCCGAGAGCTTAATGGGCTGCAAAAGGGTTAGCGGGTCGTAGTAGTCATTCCGTGTCGTCACCAGCGCGTACACCAGCAGCACATAAACCATTTACTCCCTGGAACAAAGTATCAAAGCAACACAGTCTGAGTAGTCTCTGAGAACACCGCCGTATCGTTCATCCCAAAAAAGATGCCTACGCATACATGTCCTCAGTAACCGCACCCGCGGCTTCGCGGTCTTCGAACTCAGGCACATCCGCCTCGTCCGCCACAAAGGCGGCGTCCATTTCCGCAGGGGGTCGGTTGAAGTACCGAAGGGCGCCACCGAGCAGAGCCAAACCGCCTGCTGCACTAGCCACTCCAGCACCAATCTTTGCACCGTTGCCGCCGCCGCCGCTCGCCGTTGTAGTATCCGCAGCAGGCGTGGTAGTAACCGTCACCGGCCTCGTTGTTGTAATAATCGGCTTGGCTGTAGTGGTCGTAGCCGGCTTGGTCGTAACTGGCTTGGTAGTAGTCGGCTTGGTAGTTGTCGGCTTGGTCGTAGTCGGCTTGGTCGTAGTCGGCTTGGTCGTAGTCGGCTTGGTCGTAGTCGGCTTGGTCGTAGTCGGCTTGGTCGTAGTCGGCTTGGTCGTAGTCGGCTTGGTCGTGGTCGGCTTGGTCGTAGTCGTCGTCGGCTC